TTTACAAGCTGTCATGTGAATCAAAAATGAGAAATGTTACAATCAAATACATGGATTATTACCATTTAATACTGTATACCATTACAGGTGCTCCTAAATCCTGAATTCTAAAACTTTTCACCATATGAAATAGAGATTCTATCTCTAGAATTTGTTTTCCCTCTCTAAGATTCTTGCCATTGTCTTTCTGATTTTAAGGATTTTTTTCCTTAAAAAGGACATCCTTTTATTTGTTTTTGTTTTGCCTATTTTATTCACTTATTACATTTCTACACCACCATCCTCTCTCTGAAGGATTGGTTCCATCATCAAACATTTATTGGTAAGATTGAACTAGAATCTGCCTTCTAAAAATTCAGCCCCATTATTTTACATTGTTCTCAGTGAAGCAACTATAAACAAGTCATTCTCAGTCATCCAGGCCAGGATGATCCTACAGGTTCTTCTCCAAGAGGCAGCGGGACTTTCTGGTTTTTCTTTGAAGTCATTTTGTTCTCATCCAAGAAGCTGAGCTGAAGAAATTTCTTGGATGAGAAACGAAACATCTTCAAAGAAAAACCCGAAAGTTCTGTTGCCTCTTGAAAAAGAACCTTCAGCATTACTTGAATATTGTGGCATGATGAATTATACCATAATTTTGAGAATTATCATGATTACTACTGGTTAGAATTAAATACCTTAAGGAAGTAATCTTCAGTGAGCCAAAGCCCACCTGTCAAGAGTGCCCCAAGGAATGGCAGAGCCAAAGGACCGGGAGGCAAATGTCTTCAGATCCAAAATTGTCTCAGGAAAAAGAGAATCAACAGAACAAATAGCAAAAAAATAATAATAATTGTCCCTATCACCATCATTATTCGGTTGGTTCTTTTTCTTTAATGCTCACTAGTAGATTTGGAGATGGTTGTATCCTTTTATTTTATGCTCCTTGCTCTTTCTCCTGTTTTATGTATTCCTTGATGGGAATGAATAGCAAAACAAGTTTGAATTAGTTTGAATGTCATTGACATTTTGCCAACAAATTATATTAATCCACATGAAGGAGATTCTCTCTGATCATACGTCACTCAAATAATACAGAGACTTTTTTAAAAAAAAAAAAGTCTAGGGCGATATAACTCAATATGTCCTTATTAAGATGATAGTATGCCAGCATTATTTGAAAATCATGATGAAAATCATGGTGTCCCATATGACCATGAAATCTGCCCAAATATACAGGAAAATCTTGTTGGCACACAGAGATATTATCTAGTCCAGGATTATGTCTCATACTTACCCTTGCAATCCCAGCATCAGGACTTTATCATGAAGAACCTTGCTCAACTTTGCTTACAAATACGGGAATGTCTTCATGAAGGATTCATACTGTTGAGCACCATCTTTGGTTGCTGTGCAACCTTTGGCAACTAAAACAAGTGTAACCCCCATGCTAATAAGGAAGGGCTGTTCTAATAGATTCTGCAGTAGCTGTTTTTTGATTGAAAGATGTCTTAAATCCAAGCAGTAAATTATAGGTAGAGAGCTATGGTGTTTAGAAATACCTATTTAAAAATTATATCAACAATCCAGCTGCCAAACCCATGACCACATCTGGAAATGATCCTTGCTAAAGCTCTACCAGGAACAATTGCCCAATTCCAAAGCAACATTAAACCCATCAGAGGTCAGGTGGCTTGAGTCGCACCTAGCCACCCTTTGCGATATTGTGCTTTGCCTTATGACCCCATACTTTTATTATTCTTTTTATTCCTTGCCACCAAACTGACAGATTGCCTTGCTGTGTCTCATTCTGAGCATAGCCTGAAAGCTGTATCTTTAACTACATTTTTAAGTTCACATCTGTTCTTGTTCCTAGGCTCCAGATGTTTTCATTTTCTCCTTAGATACACATCAGAACTCTAAGGATGACTCGGGTTTCACTTGGTTCCCAGGGTTATTCCACAATTATCCATTTATAGGACTTCTTTATGGTAATTGAGTGCGAGGCCCATGCCTGAAAGACAAGAATTGCCCCAATTCTCCCCTTGAATCACCTAATTCTTGCTTGTTATTCTTGCTTGTTATTCATTTAATTATTTACTTTATGTATAAATTGTCTCATTCACCAAAGGTGGTATACAACACATGGCTTTCTTCCCCTAACTGCTTTTGCTCCCACCCTACCCTACCCCATGTCCCAGCTTTTTAAAGAAAAATCTCTTCCTCTGCTACTTAAGTGGCACTTGGTCAGAAGTATGTGAATGAATGTGGCACTCTCTTCCTGACAAAATACTAGCGCTAATTACACAGACCATCAAAAGACACTTTGCTATTAGTTTCCAATCAATTGTTGGAAGAATTATCCTTCTGGGTTCAGTTCCAAGTGGGGAAGATAGACACTGGAAACATGGTGACTGCTTGGAAAGATGGTTAATGGTGCACAGGACCACATGGCTTGGAGCTCCAAAGTGAAAAGCATGATCACATGCTTCAAGATGTTGGGTGAAGGAAAAGAAGGAGCAAGATGCTGAGAGACCATTAGTTTTATACCCTCTGTTGGGCCCCACCTTAGTGTTTGCTGTTCCAGTGTATGAAATGCATCCCAATGGCTGTTAGTCTTCCAGGGGGCGGGGGTCTTAGCTAACTTTGTAGGCTTTTTCTGGATCACATGGCTTCACCTGAGTGCTGGCTGATGCAATCTTCCCAGGCCATGTGATGAGACGGGTAGAGGGCTTTGTTATGTAGAATACTCTGCCCCAGGCCTTAATGGCCCACCCATTAACAAGGTGGGGGTGAGCTTCTGCCCCTCTGAGTTTCTGCTTCCCTTTTAGGGGAAATATTCTGCCTTTTTAATATTTCGTAGGATGTTTCATTTTTCTAGGAGAGGGGTGAGTGCTAACTTCCTAGAATTCTTTTTGGTTTTTTTCAAAACCTGACAAAAGATTAAACGGTGATCAGATCAGGAAGACTTGATGGGTGCATGTAATTTTTATGATGAAAAGGGGGAGGCATTGGTAAAGAGGCAACAGAAAAGAATTCCTTCAGTGGCTCCCAAAAGCTTTCCCCGTCTGGTCTACCTGGTAATGCTAATATTAGGTCTATTCTCATCATTTCTATTCTTATAATTTAATATTTTATTTTGATTGTTTATCAAATGTATACATTGCCCATTTCATCTAAGTGACTCTGGGCAGTGCACAAATAAAAGCTATACTGCTGTTGGAAGGAAATACTCCCCAGTTGGAATTTGTCCAGCCGGGATGCAATGATCAACACTTTGAAGAAATAATTGAATAATGAAGCAGAGCTGCCAGAAAGAAGCTTTTAATGGCAAGGAAGCACGATGAGTGAATTCAGCAAGGTTTCTTGGCTGGCTAGAAAGATTGACATTCAAACGTGAGTTTACATACCCTTTCTGAGTTTTGGTTTAATCCTGTATTTATTGATGGGATAATTTTCCCTGTTCAGCTTTGTTTGGAAAGAAAAAGGTTAATCTGTGTTCCCGAAAAGAAACTGGGTTGAGAAATCTGTCTAGTTCCTGTGTCTATTGGTCTGTTGATTGTTTAACAAGCAACAGCTTCTGTTGTGATTTAATTATTTGTATTGTGTTTGAATTTTTTCCTGCCTCATGGTTTCTTTTTCTATCTGAGGAGGCGGGGGTCTCCCTTCACTGCTTCAGTTGTTCCTGGCATTGTCCTTTTGGGGTGTACTTCCAAGAGGCAGGATGCAAGCTTGGCCCTGATTATTTTACTGCCTTTCTGGGGGGCATGTAATCTTTCCTTAAATCTGGATGATTTCCTTAGGATATTTTGTGAGGTGAGACCAGCTGGTATCTTTAAGAGGTGCAAATGGATTTATGGATTGCTTCTCCTGGGTGTGCTCTTTCTGGAGAGCTTAAATGACTTTTCCACTAAAGGGTTTCAATTTTTGAGCAAGAGTTGACTGCTGAAAGTTATCATTGCATTTTAACTATTTTAATTCCTCAAGGTGCTCTGGCACCCTGCCTGATTTGTAACTCCGGCTTGCAGGTATTTTTAATCTAATGACTGGTAATTAAGGCAGCTTTTTGCAAGCAAAGAACTTTTTGTATTTTTGTACAGGTAATCCTTGACTTACAACAGTTCATTTAGTGACCATTCAAAGTACAATGGTACTGAAAAAACTGACTTATGACAATTTTTCAGGGGTGGGATTCAAATTTTTTAACAACAGGTTATGTGGGCGTGGCTTAGGTGGTGGGCATGGCTTGGTGGTCATGTGACTGGGTGGACATGGCTTGGTGGTCATATTATTGGCTGGGTATGGCCAACTCAATATCACTCACATCGAGGCACACAACTCCTTGCCTGGCCTCTCATGACTGTGGGAATGATGCAACAGTCATGTGAAAAACGGTCATAAGTCACTTTTTTCAGTGCCATTGTAACTTTGAATGGTCACTCCACACAAGCAAAGTACCAGCAAAGCAGGGGGGAAAAACTCCAGAGAAGTTCCTGAGACAGGAAGTCTAGTCCTGCCAAGAATGTAATAAGGGTTAACGGAGAGGCAGTTTCTGTAAGCAACACCAGAATGTTTCCTTCCTGCCTTCCTTACAGGATTAGGCCAGTAATTTCTTCTAATAACCAGTTCTCTGAACTGCTTAGAATGTTAACAACCGGTTCTAGCGAATAGATGCGAACTGGTAGAATCCCACCCCTGCAATTTTTGACACTTACAACTGTTGCAGCATCCCTACAATCATGAGAGGCAACGCGAGGAAAAGCACCCCTCGACGTAAGTGACATCGAGTTGGCCACATCCACCCAGTCATATGATCATGCCCACCCAACTAGTCATTAGGGCAGAGAACCGGTTGTTAAATTATTTGAATCACACCACGATTGAAACACTGTTATCACATCATTCGGTCACCTCATTTACCTGATAAGTAGACCTGGCCTGGGTTTAGACTGCTGCTTTTAAATGCCATAACAGCCTTGATAAGGCTGTGTGAAAAGAAAATTTCTGGGATTAAATGGAGAGCAATAGGTTTATTGGCAAAAGAAAACTAAGGTAAAATGTAACAAATTTACTTAGCATATTGTTCACACACCACTGGTTGAACTGGTGAAGTATGTTTGTGAATCCAGCACTAGGCTGAAAAGGTTTTAAAGTACAATAAATGAAAGCAAAAGTTCAATTAAGAGAACAGGCCTATAGGAAACAGTTTTATGCTTTTTGTGCTGTTTATTAAAGATTAAACCTGTGTGGGAATTGCACACAGTTTGTAAGGGTTTGGGTGCATTATCAGCTTTACAACAGGGGCTTCATTGAGTTCTTTTACTCCTTCAGGCAACCGGAAGTTGAAGGCCCTCAACAGGCTGGTCAGAAAGATGAAGATCTCAATTCTTGCCAGCTGCTCTCCCACACATGAACGTTTACCTGTGGAGAAGACAAAGCATGCCTAAAGGGGGCCATAATCTATTCTACAGAGTATAAATGAAATAAGAAATGAATAAGCTGCTTTTGGCTTAAGGATTTACCTAATCCGAAGAGCAGAAACTCTTCTCGGTCAATGAATTTCCCATCCTTATCTAAAAAATTATTTGGATTGAATTTTTCAGGTATCTCCCATTGTTCAGGATCAAGAAGAACAGAATGCAGGTCTGGGATGATAAAGGTCCCCTGTTTAAAAAAAAAGATGAATCAAACAGAACAGCTTCATAAAGCAGAGAAGCAAAGAAGTTCAAAAAATATTGATGAAACCCTTGCTCGTAGCTTGCCTTTACAGATCCATGCTTGTTCCTTTCTCAGTTTCTGAGAGCAGTGATTGCTCAACGGCTTAGTTTCCTTTCTCTTAACTAAAGTCACCTTGTCTCTTGACGAAGGGGACAAAGAAACATAGCTATACACGACTGCAGTTCTGATCTCAAGTTCAGCCCCATAACTCTTATCATCTTCCTAGGATAAAAATAAAATGTTTAAGGTTGTAATTTTAAAAGCTGAGAGGTGTTTGCATTTAAACCCATAATTCATCCCTGTTCTGACTCAAACCTGGTTCCAAGAGAGCAAACACAAGACAAAGGCAGCAGCACAACCTTTTCATGTTTCATTTATGAATCCTGTTTCTTCACAAATAAGAGGTGCTTCCAACTAATTAGCTCCGACTAGAAAGAGCCTTGCCAAATTTTTGCAAGGCTGACAAGAACAACAGATAAGAAATATTTTACAACACAAGAGTCTTCAAATAGCAACTTAAGATACTGCAATGTCCACGAGGCTGAAGTTTCAAAATGTCTTTACTTCCTACAAAGAATGTCTGATTCACAGCTGGCTTTTATCTTCTTGAAGGAGGGGCCATTACCTTGCAGCCTTACTCCCGAGTCACCCGTGCTGCTGCAGCTGCTCTTTCCCACGAGCAACCCTGAACACGTGCACTTGGCACAGGCTCCTCAGGAACCTCCTCATTACTACTGCCAGCCCCCACAATTTCTGAAGGCAGCAGTCCACTCCCTAATGGTCCTGGCACCTCATCTGAGTCCTCGCTCTCCTCAGCCGTCTGCTCCTGCTGCCGGCTAACCACAACAATCCCTCAAAAGGTTTTGCCGCTCTTGCTTATTCAGTTTTGCATGACTAATTGCCACTTCCTGAACAGAGACCTTCCAAGTGCCCTGTTCTCTTCTTCCTTCCATGTTGGGCTATTGCAATATATCCTGAACATATTTCTCACCTTTGGAATGTGATATCCCCTTATTGTCACATAGTTTTTGCTTTGCCTGGGAATCCCATAGAACAAGGCATATTTTACACGCTGCATTTCATGAATCATGGCATTGGTGTAGGGTAGCTTCTTCCGATCCTGGTAGGAAATTGACCCCGAGGAACCAAACACATCTTCAATCTCTTTCTGGACTTTCTCTGGAAAAATAATAATAATGAAAACAGACGCTTCATGTTCTAATATTGTGTTTTTATTCCTTTGTTCATTTATTTATTCATTTCCCAAATTTAATCCTCAGATGTATCAATCAATCCTTTATTAGGGTCACAGACCAGAGTTAAAAATTTTATTTGTTGAGATTTGAAGTTGCCATTTGTTTGACCATTCTGGTACATAGTTGAGGCCTTTTTGAAGGGTAACAGCATTGTCTGTGGTGTTGAATAGCTTTACATCGTCAGCGAAGAGAACGCAGTTGCTCTTAATATGATCACAGAGGTCATTTATGTAGAGTATGAAGAGAGTTGGTCCTAGAACACTGCTTTGGGCGACACCACTGTTGACAGGTACAGAATTTGATAGGACGCTCCCAATTTTGACCATTTGTTGTCTGTTTGACAGGAATGCTTCTATCCAGTTATGCAGGTGTCCAGAGATACCGTAAGATTTTAGTTTTAGGAGTAGTTTGTCGTGTACCACTCAATCAAAGGCTTTACAGAAGTCTATGGAAATTGCGTCTATTGCTTTGCCCTGATCGAGTTGTATAGTCCATATGTTTTTGCAATGTAAGAGTTGCAGATTACAGGATAGGTTTTTTTCTGAAGCCAAATTGTTTATTAGAGAGTAGGTTGTTTGTCTCTAAGTGGAAGATAATGGATTGGTTAATAATTGATTCTATGACTTTACAGGTGACGCAGCATAAAGAGATTGGTCTGTAATTTTCAACTAGGCTAGGATCTCCCTTTTTGAAGATGGGGATGACTGTGGCTTGTGACCATAGTTTTGGCAAGGAGCGGGTCCTGAAAGATTTTTCAAAGATTATGCTTAGAGATTTAGCTATGGCAGTAGATAGCTTTTTTAAAAAGTAGGCACATATTCCATCCAGTCCAATAGATAGAGATGATTTTAGATTGCGTAGTGCTTTTCCATCATTGTCTACTGTAAAATCGATATGTATTTGATAATTGTAGTTGTCTGTGGTTCAACTAGGAAATACTGGGCATGATCCATTGCTGTTTACAAATACTGAGCCAAAGAATGTGTTAAAGAAGTTGGCTTTAATAGTGTCATCGTTGCAATCTTTTCCATTAGGTCCTTTCAGGGGTGGGATGGACCTTGAGTCTTTTGGTTTGTTGCTTACAAAACTGTAGAAAGCATGGGTGGAATTGGTGCATAGAAGGTTTTCCTCTTGTTTAATGACATAATTGGTACATTCAGTCTTTATCTGGTGACATACATTTTTATATTGGCTTTTGAAGTTGGCAACGTGACCAGATTCGGTTTTCCGGCAAAGTGATTTCTTTTTGGGTTGAAGCTTCCTTGTTATTATGGGTAATTTGTTTTTTTCTGGTTTTGGGAGTTGTCATTGGTACATATAGTTTGATGACTCTTTTGACTTCAAGTAAAAATATGTTGTCATGGTCTTCAACAATATTGCATCCAGTGAATAGAAATTGCCAATCAAGGGATGAGAGATCATTGTTTGTAAGATCATAGTTGCCTTTTTTGAAGTTATAATTGGGGATCACATCGTTGTGTTTTTTGTGTGGATGTATGTTGAGACAAAAGTCAATCATGCTGTGGTCACTGTTGGAAAAGGGTTCTTTAATTTGTATTCCATAAATTGAATTCAAACTACTGCAGAAGATGAGATCGAGGCAGTTGTTAAGTCTAGTATTGTTGGTTACTAGTTGTTCCAGTCCCAGGTTTGTTACAGCATTGTAGAAGGTTGCATGTATGGGTTTAGTTTTACATTCATTTAGGGTCCAGTTAATATGTGGTAGATTGAAGTCACCAAGAAAGATAAAAGTGTGTGGGCAGGAAGTTGCCCATGTTAGTAGTGAATTTAGCTTGTTTACATGTTCGATGTCATAATCAGGGGCTCTGTAACATAGTAAGAATCGAAATGTAATATTTAAGGACAGTTCACAGACTATGGTCTCAGGAAGAGCAAGCTCTTGGGTAACTTGGATGTTTTTTAGATGTAAAGTAAAATATTTTTTTGGAGAATTGAACAAAATAGTAATTAAGTTTATTTGGGCAAAAAAAAAGCTAAGATAAAAATGAAACTATTACAGGACAAAAGAGAAAGGGGTGGCTTTGGACTCCCTGACTGGGAAATGTACTATCAGGTAGCAGCCATGGTATGGCTCAAGAAATGAATCAATCTGGAAAACAAAAGAATACTCTTGATAGAAGGCCACGACTTGAAAAAAGGGTGGCATAGCTTTCTATGGGAAGGGAAAAATAAGCAACATTCATATATTCAGAGACACCTTATCAGAGACTCATTAATTCGAATATGGAATAAAATTAAAAAGAATCATTATGATAAAGTACCATGCTGGCTGTCAACTATGGAAGCACAAATCTACCCCAAATGCAATGGAAAAATGTGGGGACTAAATTACAAATTAGCTATGTTCATAGCATACAGGGAAAATCTATATAAAATGTTTTATAGGTGCAATCTTTCTCCTGCTAGACTAGCAAAAATGTTCAACCTAAGCCCAAACTGTTGGAAATGTAAAAAAGAAAACGGTACAGATTTTCATATGTGGTGGACCTGCCCAGAGGTCAAGAAATGTTGGAATATAATTTGACTGTGGCTAGAAGAAATTAAAAAAAGAAAATTGAACCCAAACCAGAACTATTTCTATTAGGCATAATAACAGAAAAATATAATTAAAAAGATAAACACATTATGCTACATATCTTAACAGCTGCTAGGATTTCCTACGCACAATTTTGGAAGCAGGAAAATATACCATCAGAGGGTGTTGTTATAAAAAAAATTTAGACTGTTCAGAGATGGACAGGCTAACAATGAAATTAAGAGACAAAGAAGAATTGATATATTATAATGTCTGGGATGCAGGGTGTTGGGTTAATTCCCTGTTAGGAGAATGAGCGCATACAGGGAGACGTAGTGAGAGTAGGGAAGAATAACACACACACAGCACACAGATACACTGTACAGTAAATGTAGGTTTTACTTCCGATAAACGTTTAAGCAAATTCCAAGATAAGCAGTCCAAGTCATTCACAGGTAAGGCAGTCAGTGTTCAGTTCAGGGATAATCCAAATATCAAATCCAGTATCAAAAACAGTTCAGTAACAGACTTACATCAACGATCAGTAACAGTCATTAGGAAGAATGGCAATACTCTCCAACAGAAGGAATAAAGAGACTGAGACTAAACAACCCAGGTTTCTAGCTCCATCTTATGGCCGTTTGAGAAACCATACCCAATTACAGTTTTTGCATTTTCTTAAAGACATAGTGTTAAAATGTCTATCCTAGTTTATATATTTCTAACCCAAATAACTGTTAGGTGACTTACATTCCTAACACCGGGTATGAATGGTTTAAGAATAAAAAGAAATCAAAATGGCAATTAGGTAAAGAGTAAGAAACTGTAAATACTTACATCTATATTCATATCTATCTATATTTATTTATATATTAAGTTGAAATTGTATAATGAAAGAAATGTGTATATAGAAAGATGATAAGGAAATGTAAAAGATGTCTTGACGTTGATATAATGATGTATAAAGTTTTATTTTATGTTTTTAAAATTTGAAAACTAAATAAAATGTAATAATTGTTTAAAAAAATGAAAATGAAAATTACAATGAATTCTATATAGCTTTCCTATGGTTGCTTTTGTTTCTGAGTTTCTGGGGGTTCTCCTACAGTCACAACTCCTGCTCAAAAGCAGGTGGCAGCCATGGCTAAGAGAATCTTTGAGCAATTTCTCATGGTGCCTTTTCCTGGATCATGAGGCCCGTGCAGTCACTCATGTCCTGTTTATCTCTTGGTTGGATTATTGCAACATGCTCTACATGGGGCTACCCTTGAAGTGTATTTCCAAGCGATAACTGGAGGAGAATGCAGAAGTGTAGACAGAGAAATTAAGACCATGTGAAATGGTGAGCACGGTGCTTAGGCATTTCAAATCGATAAGTTACTTCTAAAAAAACTAATAATTCTTTGCCCATGTATAGAACCACAATAAATCCATACCTTCTGCATCTGAAGAAGATAGTAATCAATGAAATCTTGTGGCTCATGCAGAGAGTGAGATTCCTTGTGTTTCTCTATTTCCTGCTTTGCAAACGCTAGGATAATATCCAGAGAAGCCAGGGCTTTCTTGTGAGGGCCTGGGAGGTACTTCATTAACTGTGGGAACAAATCATACACCTAACAGAAAAAGAAGAGGAAAAGTTATTTATTTCCCATCCAAGTAAAGCAGGGAAGAGTCAAATACATCATAAGTCATGAGTCCCTGTTTGTCCACAATAGTATCCAATGAGAAATTATTATGTGCTCTGCTTCAGGTTATAATGAAATGTTGACAAGCATATCACATGGCTACATTCTGGGCCTTGCATTATTTTCTCACTCTTTCTGAAATGACAAAAAATTATGGGTGGCCATAAGGATAAGAAAACATCTTAGAGAACAGGACAAAATCTTGAAAGGAACACATGGAAAATCTTACATATGACTAGGAAAAATCAAAGGGATATAAAATACAATGGCTGATCTTCTTCCCCGGCTCTACGTTGCACAGGAGGATGGAGCTGAGTGCTGCGTGGGTGAGGCACTGGTTGCCGCTGTGGGCTCTTTCTTCTTCTGCTGGGTAGAGGAGGGGAGCTGTGATCTCACCTGCCTCTCCTCACTTCAGAAGGCTCTGTGGAAATTCCTCTCTGCTTTGGGTGGCATAATGCGCCAGCATCTCTAATGGTAGCCCGGTCAAATTTCTTTCTCAGCTGCTCTATCGATCTCCCCAGGGATCCCATCAGGAGCTTTGGGGCTCTGGCTTGTTCCCAATCGCACATCCATTCCACTCTTCTCAGCTTGCTCAGGGGATAGAGTAGCTTAACTTCCTAAGTTATGGGGAGTTTTGTTTCCCACAAGTACTCATCTGTTTTTTTTTTCCTTCGCTGGATCAGGTTTCTCCACTTTGGCTGTAATTATATTGTCAGCTTCTGTTTGCATTTGGGTTGCTTCCAGCAAGCTCTCCTCTGATAATCTCCCTTCTGCCATGTCAGCCTGTCTTTCTCTCCATGAATTCCATCTATCTTTGAAAACATTTATGGAATGCAAGCTGCCCACTGCTCCCCCCTCTCTTTCTCTTGGCAACTCTGTTGGCCACCAGACTTGAAATTCTAGACCTAGAAAACCTTGAATTACGCTGTCTTCGATCTGATCTAAGTATGGTATATAAAACCATACATTGCAATGACTTACCAGTCAATGAATACTTCAGCTTCAACCATAACAACACAAGAGCACACAATAGATACAAACTCAAGGTTAACCGCACCAAACTTGATTGCAGGAAATACGACTTCAGCAACAGAGTGGTCAATGTCTGGAATACTCTACCTGACTCTGTTGTTTCTTCCCCAAACCCCAAAAACTTTAACCTTAGACTGTCTACTATTGACCTCACCCCTTTCCTAAGAGATCTGTAGGGGGCGTGCATAAGCGCACCAACGTGCCTACCGTCCCTGTCCTATTGTTTCTTTTATTTTTCTTATATGTACCCATTTCATGTATTCATAACTATGTATATACTTATACCTATTATCTTGTAAGCGATTGACAAATCAAATAAATCAAATTAAAAAAAAAAACTCTAAAAAGACCATAGAGCTATTTTATGAGTTGACACACTAGCTTTGGTTTTGCTCAGATTTCCTAAGGCCCATTTCATTTCACATTCTAGGATGTCTGGCTCGAGGTCAGTGACCACCCCACCATGATTATCAGGGATGTTAAGCTCATTCTTGTATGGTTCTTCTGTGTGATTTTGCCACCTTAATTTCTTCTGCCTCTGTTAGGTCCCTGCCATTTTGGTCATTTATTGTGCCCATCTTTGCATGAAACTGTTCCGAACTAGCAGGCTCGTAAGCCTGCAAACCTGA